TATCAATTAGTGGAGTTTATTGATTTGTTTATGAACCATTTCTTAGTAGGTTTATTGATCCTTGTATGATTGATATATTGAATGCATACATTCACTGCTTTGTTCATCTCATCCATTCATCAATGCTTCATTTATTGATTTAGGATTGATTGATTGATGGATGCATTTTATCATCCAGTTTTTCATAGATTTATTTATTGATGTATTCTCTTGTTATAGATTTTAGGACCTAGCATGACCCACTTGCATACATAATAAATATTAGTTCATTTCTTTTTCATTTTAGAGCAGGAGTTTTGCAGTTAATGGAAAATTCCATGCAAAGTCATTTGTCTATTTTTCTGTGTTTGTCACTGTGGATGTGGGGAGATAATTTATAATATTCCTTGGATTTTGAACGCTGAGCGTTCTTGTTGATATTTTCCTTTCCTCAGACACAGCTGATTCCTTCAAGAGTATAAATTGTCCACTGCCTTTCTGTAGAGTTTTTGGTCTCATTGGTAAAAAAACAAAAAATAAAAAAAAAAACAAAAAACAAAAAACAATGTCATTGCTAGAGTGCCTTTATGATGTGGGGTTTATTGTGCCCTTCTCTGTGCAGAGAGAGTCCACAAGGAAATTGAACAGGTGATTGGCTCACACCGTCAGCCAGCCTTGGATGACCGAACCAAGATGCCATACACCGAGGCAGTCATCTGTGAGATTCAGAGATTTGCGGACCTGATACCCATTGGTGTGCCCCACAAGGTCACCAAAGACACTCACTTCCGAGGGTTCATCATCCCCAAGGTGAGCCTAGCTGGGATCCCACATCTTTATGTCAGCCTCTTTGATTTTCTAAATCCCCATCTCAACCTCTTGTTGGTTTCTCAATAGGAAAAGCTTGTTTCATCTTTCTTTTGTTTTAACTTTTAATTTGCATTTTTGCATGTGGGGACCAAGGCATTGCAATACCTTTTGATCTTCTAGCCTTTCCTCAGAACACTGAAATATATACAGTCCTGACCACTGCTCTCCATGACCCACGTCGCTTTGAAAAACCAGACACATTCAACCCTGATCACTTTCTTGATGCCAAGGGGGCACTGAAGAAGAGTGAAGCTTTTATGCCCTTCTCCACGGGTAAGGTGACCCATTGCCCACCTCCCAGACACTAGAGAGTAGTTCCCATTCTCTCTTTGAGGCAAAGGATGGCAAGCACTTGCTTACTGAGCTCTTCAGTGTATTCTACTTGCTTTAACCGAACTACCCTTGTCCATCTTTACTACCACACTTGAGGAGACTTGAGTCTGATATTATGTCCTAAAGGCACACTTTTGCAGGCAGAGCTCTGCAATTGAACCATTTCTAAACCCACTGCACCTAGTCAGTTACATGTATAATCTCAGGTACATTGGAGGGTGAGGCAGAAGGCCATCCTGGGCACCTGAGCAACTCCGAGTCTCAAAACGAAATAGAAAATGACTGGTAATGTAGCTAAGTGGTACAGAGCTTGTGTAGCATGTGCAAATCCCTGAATTTCTTGCCAAGTATGGGAAAAAATCTAAATCAGAGAAAAACTCAT